TTTTCAAAATAAAAGATCGTTCAGACTCAGATAATAAATAAAACAGAAATAATTAATGATTTCTTGTACGGCGGCCCGGGGGTTGGGGACCACTGCCCTACAGTGCATAAATGATCAGACACTTCAGCCATGGCCAGTTACACCTGGACTTGTTTCACAGCAGCACAAAGGTCAAGGCAAACTTTAATAAATTCAAGTTTCTTTGTGATTGCCAAAACTCTACCAATTTTCAAAAAAGGCTCCACCTTTAACTTAAACATATTGTTAACCTGTAAATACTATTCCAAAGCAGGTCTTTATGTACATTTTATGTCAAATCATATACCCTAAACCTGACAGTGAGCTCTGTCCTGAACAATAAACTTCGCATACACAAAGAGGGCTGTGGTCTATAAATAGGTTCTATGAAAAAGCGATACTGGCGCAAGCTTCCTCTAACGCAACAAGGATGCAAATCACTTCCTGATTGCACACACTACATTTTTTTTCCTCACTGGTAGCGAAAGAGAAAACCAGTTGTGTACCCTTTTCTGCCAGGACTTCTCTGCTGATGCCTAATAAGAGTCTCTTCAGTTCTAATAAGTGTTAACATTGTGCGCAAGCCTGCAAAAAGTAAGTACAATGCTGTCACAACAGTGCTTTGTGCCTTTGTTCTCTTTTCTCTTGCTATGCTCCTCACATCTTATTTTAAACCACTCTTGCATTCTTTCTAGCACTTGACATGTTTACAAGGTAGCAGTGGCTGACAGAAAAACCACAGCTGCATTGTGCCTTGGAGGTTAACGAAGATCAGTCAGTAAAGTGATAGATTTTCAGTGCTGTATATTTTGCATTCTAGCTCGTCAGCCATCTTGAGGTATCATAATAGAAGAATACAATGGATTTAAGGGACAGTCGAACATTTCATTTCATATGCTAAAAAAAAAGAAGAAGTTACACTTTTACTGCCTCACACCAAAAGGTTGATGGGTTTTTATTTTTCAGGTCGAGGCTTTTTCTGTCAAGTTGCTATATTACTTTATTCAGGTGGATTCTTACACTATTATCTTCACACAGTCCAAAAACCAAGTCACGTCAGAGCTATACATTCCCCACTGGCATGAACATAAGTGTCACTATCAGCTGTGATGGATGGGCAACTTGCACATTACAGGCAATGTCAAATACATAACTGGAAAAACTGGCAAGCAGTCTGAGATACAGACTGTTTGCTGTTAAGATAAATCATTTGAAAATTAAAAACATGATTAAGCTACATTCACATAGGTCCTGCTAGTTCATGAAATTAAATTGCTGGCCCATACCCATGTTTAAGCAAATGCAATAACTGTTAGGCTAAGTTTAGGCAGCTAAAACACTTGGGTTATGGTTAGGAAGCAAATTTAGTTATGATAAAATAAGTTCCTCATAAAAAAAAAACTTAGTCATCTATTCACATAAAGCATTTCGTGCAACCCCTTTTCACTACCGGATGAGAGCTTGTCGTGAAACTTTTGTAGGAAAAACTGTTGTTTTGTTTTGTTTTGTTAGTCGGGGTGGTACATCTTAATCTTAAAAGAACTACAAATCCCCCTTCTTTCATTCAGGTATAGTGTGAATGCAAGCACTTACACTGTACCAGGCTGAATGCTGGCTTTTTCCCCCTCCTTAATGTTAAACATTTGTACTCATCTCTTATAATGACCTCTTCCCACCCACAGATAAATTGGCACGCCTGGTTAAATCCGTGGAGGTGAGCACTCCAGCAAAACATATTCCTAAGGCTTTTCTTTTATCCCTGTACATGCTGCAGAACAGGTTTTTTTTGAGAACCATTCCACACTTTGTAGAAACAAAAGCTTTGAGAGATGCCTTACAAATAAAACTGACTTGTCATGGCACTCCTTGCATGCCTGAACTCGCGCAGTTCAATAGCAAGTGAGCCACTAAAACCTATCTTTGGAAGCTGGAATCCTACAAACATCCTAGGAACCTCCCCTGAACTGACACTGGATGAATTTTCCCTTGAGTATTTATAAAAATGATTCAACTATTAACCTATTTGCTGTTCACTATAAAATTGTGGCAATAAAACACTGAAAAAGAAGAATGCTAACTTGAGATTTGTTGCAGTTGTCTTTGCTGATTCTTCACTGGCAGCATCACTGAAGTCAGTGATGACCATTATGGGCAAAAAATAAGTGTCTACCTGAAAAGGAACACAATCAAGTCACCATGGATATGTGTACCAAATGTTAATGGCAATCCATCCAACAGTTGTCAAGTCATTTCACTACAAGCCAAAAATGTCACCCTGCTGGTGACACTAGAGCAGTAGTCAGTGGTTCACCAAAGCCACGATTCATCCACTGGGGACCATGAATGTCTACACAAAATTTCATGGGTGTCCATCTTCTAGTAGAGATATTTTAATCTGGACTAAAGTGGTGGACTGACCAACCTGCTGATTGATGCTGCCTTCCCTATATCAAGGGCCAGTAAAATGTAGTGCACACTCTCCAACACATCAGCCCAATTCATTTAAAATGTTTAACCAAAAATCTTTGGTATCATTATAACAGAAGAGATACACTTCCTTAAACTGCACACAGACACCCTTAAAGTGCCAAACTTAAAAAAAAAAGCAGCATCTTGAAATGTCACAGCGAAAACCACAACAAATCGCCATACACTCAGCTGAACAGCTCAACTTTAGAAGTGTTAACAGGCATGCTCATTTTCAGCCATCTTGGGTATCTCTAAATTAGCTTGGCACGCCTCATAACTAACATTATCAAAACCTCACTGGTGCACTGCCTGTTAAATACCAACAAAGACAAACAAAATGAATCCTCTATGGCAAACAAAAGCTTGTTCAACAGGTTCAACAAGGCACTGTACCAATCGGACAACACTTTGTGAACTGATATACCATATTAAGGGATAACATCTTTTTTTCTGTGGACTTGAAACTGCCAGCTCACTCAGAAATCACCTCTAAAATAATGATAAGTCACTGAACTGTGAAGTAGCCCAGTGTTAAATGGATTCTTTTATGTCCAACAGATCAAAATGAGTAAGCGAGACACACCCCTCCATAAACGGCAGTCCACACCCAACTTTGGGAAAGGTGAGTCAACACTCCAGCATAGAAAGACATTCATACCGTGCACTCAACTAATTATGAAGAGCTACACTAAATGCTCCTAAAAATGTATTTTCATCACAAGGTGAAATAACAGTATAACCCTGCTGGGAGAAAGAGTTTACATTGAGTTATCTTGGACACAAGGGCTCAAAGTTAGGGCTAATGATCATTAGTTTCATCCCTCTGCACTACAGTCACAGTACATGCCATGCACATGCAAACATGAATTAAGCCCATTACATACAGTTCAGCATTTAAAAGGCATGGTTTAACTGGCTCCATTTAATCGCCAACCAGCAGGCTACACATTTTTACACTCTTTGAAACTTCAATTATCAGTTATGTATTTTTGTATTCATGGCCCAAAGAAGCATCTAATACAAACTTAAACTTCTGTAGTGGATCATATCACTCCCACTCCCCATCACTTGTAGCAAGTGAAAGCAATCTAAGTTTATTTGCTGTTGATAAAACTCATTACATGCTGGATCAGGACATGTGCAGGGTATTTGTACATTTGTTGAAGTGCCCAGTCAAGTGGCCTCTGTTCCCTTAGTAAATGTATGACACCAAAGGCCACATGACCTTGCCCTATAAATAATAAAATTTACCACCTGCTTACTGGATTAAGGAAATTTAAGTTTCTTACTAAAGAAATGAGCTTTTATGACTTACTGTCAGCTTTTTACAGTAAAGACACTGATGGTAGCTGCATAAACGTTTAAATGGTAACTTTACCCTAGAACACTGTTTTGATCTGACAACTAATGCAGTTTGATATAAATCTAATCAATGAGTGGATTTACTTTTAGGGAATAATGGACTCTTGAAAACTGCAAACAAACAATTATGCTGGTAAAAACTGTTTACTATCACTGTTTTTTATGTACATCAGCAGTTAAAGCAATACTTTAGTATGTTATTTGGGGGAAAATGAGTTTTTCTAATGCACTTTCACAGGGTACTGTATGTACTGTAAAGTACTTTAATATTACCTAAAGAACTACACAATTTCATTCCCTTGTTATTGCCACATCTCACAAATAGCCACTTACATGTTAGCTGCCAGTCATGACATAACCTTGGATTAGCAGCCCCCTCTTGCCATTATGCTCTTACCACCTTAAAATAGAGATGGAGTGCAGCACTCAAGAAAGATACGACCAGCAACTGCATAATACACAGAGGCACCAGACCACATAAACATCAGAGCAAAGCCTGGCTGAGGCAGCCAGGGGAAAAAAAAAAAAGGAACAGCGGACACACATCGTAGAAACAAGAAAGATACAGACACCAGACCCGAGGACAGTCTTGATGGTGTCAAAGAGTTTTCTGCAACACTTCAAAGTGTTCTGTAAGACCCGACAGTGAGTGGCAGACATATGAAAAGAGTGGAGCCAAAGTTAAGAGCTAGTGAGTCCAGAAGAGACAGAAGCAGACACATGAAAGTTTAAATACTTGATTCAAAAGAAAGAGAGCCAAACATGGCCCAAATCACTACAGAAGGTAAGAGACAGATTATAAAAACAACTTCTAATTTCTGAATATTAAAAAAAATGTTGAATGTCTACAACCAAAGGAACTAAGGCCATGACATTTAATGGATGATTCACTTTCTGATACCGAGGTAAGTATACCAGCTTTCAACCAAAAGTGACAGCTAACATACATGGGTAAAATTTTAAAGGTCAGTAGTGTGAATTATCATTTCATTTATGGCTGTGCATTTTTGTGATATATTAAACTCCTTCTTCCAATAAATATGTCAATATATTAACTGAAATGTTATTTTGTTATGTTCTAAAACAATATCCACACTGTTTGTGTAGGTCAGGTTTCTATAGCTGGGACACGTGGGTCAAGGTCACCTAGTGGCTGCTCAGCTGTTCCAGTAGGGAGAGTGTACACATGCTGAATTACAGCTTCCAAAATGTGTCAAGGATCAGGCAGTAAACTGTGCCAATGTGAAGGCAAATACTGGTGGTGTCATCTATAAAGATCACTAGCAGTTTTCAGATTATGGTTGGTGAGTCTGCAGAAGAGAAGTTTGATATTTCATACAGTGGTATTGTACATTCTGCCTTGTGCCTGTGATTTAAATACCTCCACAGGAATTGATGCTAGAACTGGTGAAGTGTCCTAAACTGACTGCAACATTATTAGTAACAGTGATGGCATGGTAATCAGAATACACACACATCTCTAGTCCTGACAGCAACAGTAGTATTCATACTAGCAAAGAATGACCAAGCAGGCATAGCTTTTTAAAAGAAACAACTGTGCTGTTCTTCATGTCATCTGATCAAAATAGGAATTCTCAGGGTTTCAAGCCTAAAAATAGCTCCCTAGTTCATGGCATGGGTATGTAAGAGAAGAAGGTGAATACAAATAAACATGACATGTGTTCCCACCAAAAGGTCTTGAGAACTAAAATAATGACTGTTTTGTTGTTAGAACTGCAGTTAGCCAGGAATTCACTTTCCATTTGTAGTAAAAACTACACATCTACTTTACTGCTTTATTGTTCATAATGTGATCCGGTTAGAGTTTTTGCAAAAATTGGTACATTGCAGTTTAAGAAACTGTTTTAAAAAATTTTGCCAGCTTAAAAGATCACTATGCAAAATGCTGAAACTGCCAGTCTGGGACACCCAGGACAGTACCGGGTAGTTAACTGTGTTTACTGCAACTTGCCTGGCATGCTGGTGTAACTGAAACACAATTCAGCCACTCGAGACATGTTTACTGGTGTGAGTTAAGATGCCAAGCTCATCCCTTGACCCCCACCATTCCCAACATTAAACTCTTCTCAGTCTCAGGTTTATCTTCCTAGTATTATTATTTACCACCTATCACTAAGATGTTATTTCTTCTTCAGGTGCTGCCATATTTCACCACATTTGAGATGAAATATCAGCAGCTGTCAGCAAGTGCTCAGATTGTTAATCTGTGCCATTACTTCAAAACTAACTAAAAAAAATTCACTAAAACTCAGAACTTTTTTCCACAGAAATGACACAGTGTTTCCAGAAAATCTCAATTAATGACGTGGAAGAAAATGTACGTCTGATGGCAGAGAGGGTTTATGCCTCTGCCCTGAAGGAGAAAATCAAAAAAGATGCTCTAGCACTGTTCACCGTGCAGGAGGACTGTCCCATTGGTCTACATGAGGACAGGGAGAGGGCGATGCAGAAAGAGCTGGCTGAGCAGGAGTCTCAGGAGTCTGCTAAGAGGTAGAAATGGAAAATATAATCAATCATAGATCTGCAGCCAACTACATACTGTATACCAGCTACTGTACCAGAGTAACATTTGTCTCTTCATGTGTCACCAGGAAGAAAAGTTTTAAGTTAAAGCGTTCGCAGTCGATAAATCTGCAGTCCCCTGGCAGTAAAGAATTGGGCCCGACAATGGGTTCGTCACAGTTCTCCCCAACCACACCTGAACCTAGTCTCCCAGAGGGCCTCCCAGAATACCAGAGAGTTACCATCAGTGGAGATTACTGTGCAGGGGTAAACTGAATCAACACTCTTACATACTGATGCACAACTACTAACCTGAACATTTGACAGCTACTTCACATATCTCCCAGCAATCAAAACTGATACCTCATTAGAACAATTTATTTGTGTCTATACAAAAAAAATACTCAACCAGTCAAAAACTCATATATGAATGACAATAAAATATTGCTGAGCTTGTCAATACTGCAGTTACTGAAATGCAGTGAAAAGCCAGTGTTAGCTCAAGAGCTAAGAAAATTAGAGACTTAAGAAAAATATTAGAAAAAGGAAAAAACTGAAAGTCAAAGGAAACATTATTAACTTGAATTTGCTGTCATTTAAAGTGAAAACCTTTCCATGACATTTCCAGATAACAGTTGAGGATTATGAACAGGCAGCTAAGAGTCTCTTTAAGGCACTGCTCATCAGAGAGAAGTACTCCAGGCTGGCCTACCACCGCTTTCCCAGGACCACTGCCCAATACCTCCGCAACGCTGGAAATGTTAAGTGGCAGGAGGAGGATGAGATCTTGCCAGGTCAGGGCATTTAACGAACTTCCTATTTTACTCAGTGGAAAGCATCTATGGACAAATACTCCTGCACTGTATTTACTGTATTTTACTACACTGCAAATTAGGGGCAGAGTAATTTTAATGCTTAACCTGTACAAAGTGTAACTGTTTCTCAAACCCACACAACCAACATCACTTAATCATTTATTTGAGTAAGGAACAAAGAAATAAGTAAATAAAGACAGCTGGTACCTCAGATAGCTAAATGAAAACTATTTGTAAAGAACATCACAAGACTTAAATGATGCTTGAGGAATTTAAGGTGGCAAAACTGGTTTTGCATTCTATCACAAAGCATTCTCTATACTTATGATTGTTCCTTATTTGCTCTTTTGTTTACTCCCATTGTTTGCAGATATCTGGCCTTCCCCTCAGGAAGGGGGGGACCCATACTCCATGGAGGGTATTCCTGAGGACCTGAACTGTAAGATGCAGATGAAGGACGGTATAATTTATGTTTACGACAACGAAGAGGCCCTCAAACAAGAGCAGCCACACAGCCTCCCTTACCCTGACCTTGAGACTTTTGCCATAGACCTGAGCTATGTCCTCGCTATGATAGCTGATGGTCCAACGTGAGTACACAAGAATCTTGACCACAACAGCTAAATTAGACATTTTACAGTTTTTTCAACTGATATTTCACAGAACAACGTGAGCAGTTCTCCTTCCCGATCAGCGGGACTTGTAGTATTAATCAGCTAAGTGCGAGTAGCTTTTAACATAACTCAGATTTTCATATACAATGCGTTCAGCTCATATTATGCTGTGTTGCCTCAAAGGAAAACCTACTGTCACAGACGACTGAACTTCCTGGAATCTAAATTCAACCTCCATGAAATGCTAAATGAAATGGCAGAGCTAAAAGAACTGAAAAGTGTTCCACACAGAGATTTCTACAACGTCAGAAAGGTCAGTTGGTATTTTTTCATCCAACTCAGCAGGGAAAGATTTAACAACTCAGAGACTCTGCATTAAACATTATGTAATACAAACAATTTGGCTGAGAACACTTCAACCTGAGCTCATCTAAATTTAGTGCCCTTGGTGTAAATAAACTGAAGCTTTTGGATCTAGTGCAACTTGTCTTGCACACTGTCACTGCTTTATGTCTAACACAGGTGGACACACACATACATGCTGCTGCTTGCATGAACCAAAAGCATCTTCTGAAGTTTATAAAGACAACATACCAGACAGAGGCCGATCGTGTGGTCTTGGAGAAAGGCAGTCAGAAGATCATGCTCAAGGATGTCTTCAAAACCCTCCAGATGGACCCCTACGACCTCACTGTAGACTCGCTGGACGTGCACGCTGTAAGAACACAAAAGTTATAGTTCCTAGAACATCAGGCCTTCACAGTACAATATTACTATTACTGCTACAATGCTGTTGCAGCATTCATCAGGTTTTCCCTGTCAAATTTACCTAAAAAGACTAAAAATACACCAGGTAGTCACATAGTTACTCTATGTGCCTGCAAACAAATTATTTTGTTGTTCTCAAATAACCAGTGCACATTTCACAAACCTGAGCTTTATTGACACAAGGTTGAAATTATGGCTGTTCATGCATTTCATATGGTGTTACGCAATCATTTTCTATGTTCCACAAGGTCAGTTTTAATGTGTAATATGAAAATAATCAATCCAGTCACTTTGTTGGAATGAGAATGTGATCATCAGTACATAAGATTCACCCCCCTCTCACAAATTACTCTCCTAGGGAAGACAAACATTTCATCGGTTTGACAAGTTCAACGCCAAATACAACCCCATGGGGGCTAGTGAACTGCGAGAGATTTACTTGAAATCAGACAACTACATCGAAGGAGAATACTTTGCACGCCTCATCAAGGTGAGCTTGAGCGTTACTGTCATGTAAAAGCCTCTATACTGGTGTTTTCGTTTATCTTGTCTATATTTCTACAACAGGTTGAAGGTGGTTGCAGATAAATTGTAATTAATTATTCAAAATCGACAAACAACATGAACCAATAAAAATGAGTCAAAGACATATCAGTGGAGTCTTTCAGAGAGGTTTCAGTGTGGAAATGTTCAGGTAGCAGCTTCTGCTGATAGTGGCTGTCTCTTGTTAAAACGACAACCAGTTAAGTCATACCAGCTGTCGCTAACTAAAGCTGACTCAGTGACTTAAAATGATGGGCAAACAGACAACATGCTGCCTGCCCCTCAGAAAAGTATTCCTTTATTCCATTCTGAAAAAGAAGTTTCCAGCTCAACTGGCTCTTCTTCAGGTACACCTGCCTCTGCACCTGTATTTTTAAGCACAGAATAAAAATAAAGTATAAAGGGAGAAATCAACAGAGTTGAGTCTTTGTGGAAACTAAAGATTATTTCAAAGTTTCCAAGAGATAAAAAAAAAAGTTACAAAAATGTTTTTAGATTTGACTGAGGCACAGTAAAAGCAAAATGCAACCAAGGTGCAGCAGAAACTGGAGATTTAGCAGCACTAGTGATGAACCAACTCCTCATATGCACATAACTTCACCTATTCATTTTTGGAAGGATCATAATGTTTGGGAAACACTAAAAATGCTTTGTTCCCGCTGGGAGCGGTCTACTAAAACGTTACGGGAGATCAAGTTTCTTTCATATCTATAATGTTTATTTGCTGCATGAAGTACATTTGCTTCAATGGTATTTGAAACAGAAACAAATTGCATGCTATCTGTCTAGTGACATGGCAACTTCTGCCTTTATCAAGAAACAAACTTCCTGTGGTTTGGCATCTGTTTCAGGAAGTAGCCAAGGAGATGGAGGAGAGCAAATACCAGCATACTGAGCCCCGTCTGTCAATTTACGGCCGCTCTGCCAGGGAGTGGAAGGGCCTAGCAACCTGGTTCATCCAGCATAAGCTCCACTCACCAAACATGAGATGGATGATCCAAGTTCCCAGGATCTAGTACGTGCTCACTGAAAGCCTAATCCCATGAGACAGAAGGAACATTTCTTACAGTAACACAAACGTGGTTTTATTAGCACAAAAGGACCTAGATTCATTTGAATGTGCTAGGCTCTTATAAGGAAGAAATTACTCTACCCATGGCAGTGAGCCATATGCACAAGTTACAAAACCAATGACTTGTCTGAACAAGTGTTATACTGCTTCTGCTTTTAAATAATACTGACTGATGAAATTCCAACTGTTCACAAAACTCACAATCAGAAAAATACTCAACAAGCTGTTCTGAATAATCAAACAAATGCTAAAATAAAATGTTTGTTTGTACAGAAAGACTAGTTGAGCTGATTCCTTTTGTCTTACAGTGACATTTTCAGGGCAAAGAAATTAGTGCCACACTTTGCCAAGATTCTGGAGAACATTTTCCTACCCCTCTTTGAGGCTACAGTCAATCCGCAGAAGCACAAAGAAATACATGTATTCTTAAAATACGTAAGTACTCTCATGGTGGTTTGAGTCTGTGACAAACAGGAAACTTTTAAAATGAAATAGCAGCTTTATCAGTTAGCAGCAGGAAAACGGTAAAACACAAAGTTAGACTACATCTTGTTGCACTGACACGACAAACACGACTGTGTAATATTTGTTTTGCAAACATGCTGACATGATCTTTGCTGGTTGGTAGGTGACAGGGTTTGACAGCGTGGATGATGAATCCAAACACAGCGACCACATGTTCTCTTACAAAAGCCCAAAGCCTGAGGAGTGGGATACAGACGACAACCCTCCCTACACCTACTACCTGTTCTACATGTACGCAAACATCATGGTGCTAAACAACCTGCGCAAGTAAGTCTGCACATGCATACAACCTTCCATGACATGATGCCTGCCTATGTTGCCAATTTCCAGAAGCGCATACAGCCTCAGCATATTACTGCCACAACTCTGCAGGTGCACAAAAAGTCACATTCACACCGCAGATGAAAATGCACGAGTAACATTACACAAATGCTCTCTTAGGGATGGGAGCACCGATGAAAATGATTTACCCAGAAGCAAGAAAGAGTTCGGCCTAATTATGCTCTTCAGCAAATACAGTACATGATACATGTGCTACATATTTTACAACAGGTACTACACAGCATCCTTGTTTGTGTTTCTCCAGGGAGCGAGGACTCAACACCTTCCAGTTTCGCCCTCACTGTGGCGAGGCTGGCTCCATCACCCACCTGGTCTCTGCCTTTCTCACAGCCGACAACATCTCCCACGGACTCAACCTCAAGAAGGTACAGTCCTCAGTTCATACCAGGTTTCAATACACTGATACATGCTGATAGCTGAAGCTGCTGATACAGACAACTCATTTTGTGCCAACATTCAGGCTATAAAAATCTAATTTTAGTACCATAACGGAGATAGTAAGGCAGTATATTACAGATTTTTATTTATATTTTAAAGGCCACTTTAACTGAAAAGCAAGCATTGCCTTGGAATGTCATGATGAATAGAGTTGTTGGTCAAACATGATGACAAAAGACTTCCAATAATACTGAGTCATGGCAGCTTACAGTTCTGGGTTTCCTGTCAGCAGCAACAGACAGCTATTTTGAATCAACAGCTAGTTCTGTCACTTACTGGTGCACTTAGTTTAGGAAGAGCATTCATGAGCTAGATACAGGCTGACTCAAGACTTTTATATCCATGAAATATTTGCAGATTATTCCTTTAAATTTCCTCCAATAAACTCGTTGATCTATAGCATTACTCATATGAATGTGTTATCTGCACCTCCTCCTCCCCAGAGTCCAGTGTTGCAGTACCTGTACTACCTGGCCCAGATCCCAATCGCCATGTCCCCACTGAGCAACAACAGCCTGTTCCTCGAGTACTCCAAGAACCCTCTACGAGAGTTTCTGCACAAGGGCCTGTGTGTGTCGCTGTCCACTGATGACCCCATGCAGTTTCACTACACCAAGGTGAAAACCACTGGGAATTTTTTTTTAATCAAATTACAATTTATTTGCCATGCAACCACTATTACAGATAAAAATGTATCTAAACCAAAATTAACATTTTAATGTAACATGATTTAATATCCAATAGGTAGGGCTGAAATTAATAGCTATTTTGAATAATCTAATTTTTTCCTTTACAGTTAATCCATTTATCAATGTATTCTTTGGTATATAAAAAGTAAAAAATAGTGACACTAGAATTTTCTTGAAGCTAATTATGACAAATGTTCCTTTCAACCCTTTCAGGAGCCCCTGATGGAGGAGTATGCCATTGCAGCCCAGTTGTGGAAGCTTAGCACTTGTGATGTGTGCGAGATAGCCAGGAACAGTGTGCTGCAGAGTGGCCTGTCACATCAGGTAGAAGTCAAACTTTTTTGCTCAATCAAATGCATAAATGTTTTTCACAGTAGGTCTAGAAGACTTCAGGAGGACAAAAAAGGAAGGGGGTAAAGAAACCTCTGCTGTCTGGTCTTTGTACATATTTTCACAACCTCCCTATTTCCATTACAGTCAGACTGACAACACTAGCTTTAAACAACTTTGTAGGCTGCCAAAATGACCAGTCTTGGAAACTATATGCCCCCGAGTTCCTTGAGTAATATAAATTCTAATAAATACATGAGAAGAAAAAAAATCTAATAATGGTTTATCAGTTACTGATTTTTTAATCCACTCATAGCATACACAAATATATTGTTTAAGATCTGTAACCAAGATATGACCTGAGAAAGACATTTTTCAGTTGAAAACTAAACTGGTCAGTGGCCTCTGGTGGACAAACTATATAATTACAGAAAATACATTACTGAATTATAACGATGTACCCTTTTTCACTTCTGCAAAATCCCTCTTAAAGGTCCATAAAATCCTGTCTGCATCCCTTAATAGTCTTTTTCTACATCACTACAATAAATTTAACTGTTTATAAAATGATCAAAATGAAATCTTGTGCAGAAAATAGTTACTTGCAAGCATCTTAATATAGAGGAAAATCTTTTAGTCTGCCCATAAGACAGCCAAGTGCTTTCTACCAATAGAAAGGTCCACATTTCAATCACACAGCTGTTACCATCAGTTGTGCTGAGGTCACTGAACCCCCACCTGCTCCATAGACAAAAAGAGCCTGCTGCATCCTGTCAAGACTTTCACATTGGTTCAGTACTTGCTTTACATGTTCTTTATTTAAACTTTGTCACCCGTAGGAAAAGAAGCACTTCATTGGTCCCAACTACTTACAGGATGGACCCATGGGCAATGACATTAGGCGGACAAATGTGGCACAAATACGCATGTCCTACCGCTACGAGACTCTGTGCAATGAGCTCAGTTTTCTAGTGGATGCAGTGAAGATTGAGACTGGCACGGGCCCTGCTGAGTGATGGACCACAACAGCACAAACTGTGTCTGGATATGTCCTCAAGGATAAATGGGTACAGCTTAGGCAACACGTGCTTTTTTTTTTTTTTTTTTTACTTTTAAGTCATTATAGGTCATTATAGGTCATCCTGACCCTGAATTTGGACTGTAGAATGATACAAACTTATTTTCTTTTGATGGGTGTTAAATGTACTTTTGGATATACCAAATGACACTGGCCAGAAGACATGACTTAGATTTAAAATGGACACATTCATAAGCCAAAAAAAACACAGCTTGATGAATTTTTTTTTTTCATTTTCAGATATATGCATGTTTCTGAACAATTACTTTGGACCTGTGGAACAAATAAAGGGCAAAAATGGCTATTGTGAGAGTTTATTTTTCCAATGAATTTGTGAAATGCATGATTTTGACAGAAGTGAATAAGAGGTCAGGTAAACACTGCAAGCTAGGTTCAAGTGTGCACAGGTTTTAATGCTAGTGTTGGGGGTTTGGTGGTGAAATCAAACCCTTGATAAACTGTGAAACCTAAGTAGAATATTTATCTTTTACATTTCTCATTTCAATTAGTTTTCCTTATATAAAATAAAGACTTCAAAACAGTCAAGAATATTTCTATATACCTTCTTCTTAAAAAAGCAGCACTCAGTATGTGCAACCTCCACATAATACCATTACACCTAAAAGCAACACTGCCGTGATAATTTTACCCTCAATGTGATTCCTTGACCATAAAAACCTATGGCTGGCAACTGGAATCACATTTATATCATTATTAGGTCAAAATAACTTGCTCATTTCTAATTATTAATGTTACCCATCTAGTTTTGACCTCACGTATGTGCATTCTTAACAATCCTTCCATAATTTTGCATTAGTTTTTAGTTTGTTTTTTTATGGATGTTAAGGTAGCCAATCTGACACCCGTTCGATATTATGCATATAATTAGCTAGCTAGTTTTTAGCTAAGCCAACGCAAGTATTAGAGCATTAGCTAATGTTAAAATATATAATGAAAGCATATTGAAAATAATGTACCTACCAGAAATATCCAGACATTAGTCCGATGCCTTTCCGAGTACTTGAGTACTTATTGAGATTAACTGGTTGAAACCAGTACATACTGGTAATGAGTATGTAATAATGTTATTCATTTGTTGATAAGCGACAGAAAAATGTTGAACAATGATAGCTAACGGTAGTTAGTCCAAGAAAAAAAAACTCTGCTTGTGATTTGGCACCTGAACCCTGTTGTAGTTCTTCACAAGTTTAATTTTGTTAACACTTTTCCTTAGCACGTAACTAACTTGAAGCTACCACGAATTAGCTTCATTTCGTGATACTATCGGTTAGCAGTCAGTTAGCCGCCGTTAGCTTGACTTGGTCGTAACATAGCATATCTTAATCTTGTGGTGCGTAGGCGAATAAACTTTTTCGTACATTCAGTGCTCACAATCCTAAAAAGGCCAAATATTTAAATTATGACCTGACCAGGGGCCTGTTTCAAGAAGGAGGTTTTGTCGAAACTCAGAGTTTAACCCCGAAATGAGGGAAACTCTTGAGTTTTCGGTTTCAGAAACGGAGGTAATTTAAACCCGTGAAAGCGGGGTAAATTAAACCCGTTTCACATTAAAGAGGAGTTTCACAGGATTGCAGGTTAGTGGCATTGAATTAGTTTCAGTAAGGCTAATCTGAAAAATGATGATCAGTTAATAACATCTTGCTGTGACCTCTGGAAATAAACTAATAATTAGAATCCCCTTCAGGATTTCCTAATGCGGTTGGATGCATTGATGGCACACATATTCCCATCAATACACCTACATGAAAATTAAAATTCAATTCTTATATTATTACATCAGTGTTGGGTAAATCTTAAAAAAGTATTTTGATGAAGTTACTCATTCAATTATTGAAGAATTAAGAACCATTCCTTACTTTACAAGTGACAAATAATAACATTACTAACATTATTTAGTAATTACTTACACCGAACACTGTATGATTAAAATGTAAACGTACGCATTGACTCGGGCAGCTATTTTCCCCCAAGCTAACTCTTTCTCTTTCGCCGCTGCAGCCGTGTTGTTTTTTTTTTTTTACGAAATATGGGCTCGTAGTTACGGAAGAGTATTAGGACCACTGCATAAATTTTTATGCTTGTAGTAGCACATCCATTTCTGTCGGGGAAAAACGCAGACCTATTTTTGCTTGGTCCTGTTGCCATGGTGACTCGTAATGTCTTCACTCCATTGTTCAGGGCTTTTTATAGTCGCGTGGCACGCGCCTATCTCTGAGTCAAACTACTCAGAGTTGATTAAACCAACTCTTTTCAACTGTTCTGAAACCGAAAACTCCAAGTTTTCCAACTCTGTGTAAGTTAAACCTCCTTCTTGAAAAGGGCCCCAGATAGGGGGGGAAACGTCTCAGCGTTATATCATGCGAAAAATGAATCGTTGTCACGTGGTTTTCCATCGGACCACAATTATCTCACTTGCGCCTCTGATGTCCAGAAGCGGTAACGCAACAACCTACTGTACTGTATATTACTATTCATTATTTCGCAGCCAGCTCTTCTTCACTAAAACAGTGTTTTCTGCTGGCTGTATTTATCCCAAATGAGGAGTATTGGGCTAATGTTTATCTATTAAACAGCATAATTTCCGTTCACCATATGGCTAAAATGATGTTATATAAAAAAGACAATGTTCATCAATGATGAGTGAAAGCATGTTTTTTTTTTGTTTTTTTGCATATTTCCTTTGCATGTCTAAATTAGATGGATAAACACATTTTATCTGATTTATACAACTTGTCTTTTAATCAGTTCAAAAGATAAAACACTTCAGTAATCAGTGCTATCAATGTTCAATCCACCAAAACATAAAGTGCAAAAAGTCTCTCTTTATTCGGGCTAATACAGTAAGAATAAAATAAATTTTGATATACAACTTTCCATTCAGTTTTGTAAATGTAATGCCTTTGCTAGGACTTGTATCAGCAGAACTATAAGATAAAGTTATCACGTTTAGGTAGCAACATCATATTACGCAGCAGTTTGTGTTCAGAAGTATTTACAAACAAAAAGATACTATTTTGTAATTTATTATAAAAAACAGCCTTAGACCCAAAATTAAACAAATTATCCTTCTTCAAGTATCAGCTATGACAACTTTATTTTATTAAATGTGGGTCATGTAGTCGTGCACCCACCAAATCAGACTGTTCTCTTATAACACTCCCGCTACATCTGATGAAGAAAGACTGATGCTGCATATCAACTGAAGTCAAAGTCAGATAATATTATCCACCACATAGATCAAATCATTTGTTGCTGTAGTGCACAAACACTACAAAAGCTACAGTCAGATTTCAAAGTGCAATTGGTCAGAACTGACAACCAAAAATTAAAACTGTTTAGCAAATGGCTGGTCTAATACTCGGAACAAAGCATCTTAAAATATCTACAGTAAATGTTACCAAATGCAGAGGTGCTTAACTCAAGTGTCACACAAGGCAAAGATGAATGAACAATTCATATCACTGCAACTTTAAAACAAAATATCATTAAAGAAAAATCAAGGTCAATGCATATTCACATTTCATAAAATGCTGCAGTAAGGATCCACTTCACACAACCACAACTAGAAGTGCTACCTTGGATTTGAAAGCTAGGACAGAATCCATATTTAAAATAAAACTATGTTGTAGTTTTATATTCTACACAACTGTCATCCTACAAGAGACCGGTTGTAACTAGAAAGCTGTCAATAAATTGATTATCTTGAACAATAGCCATGCAAAGCAAAGACGAGTAGCAGTTTGGGAACGTAAACTAGAATACTTTTAGCGAAGTCAGATGAAAATAATCTTTATCTTAAAAATATATATATTTGGTAACACTAATTAGAACAGCACAAATGACACATAGTGGTTATTTACAACATTAAAGAAGACAACAGGAAGCCAAGTCATTACAATCACATCAGACTAATTAGTCCTGTACAGCCACCAGAGGGCGCCAAGTCCGTTTCTGAGCTGGATCAGAGCATCAGTGTATGACAGGGTCACATTACCTGACTGAAGGACTGTCACGTCAGGATAGAAACATGCAGGGTCACATTGTTCGGACTACAGAACAGCTTTACATGTGGAAATGAAATTTGGCTTTAAAGTCTGACCAGTAAGTGCGATTTGCACCCAGTGCAAAAGTTGGACATTTTGAGATATGTACTTATTTGCATTTTAGTGGGTAGAAAGTAAAGAAGATTGATGCTGTATAGTAAAAGCAGTATAAGGCTAGAGCCAGCAGTCAGTTTGCGTAGCATAAAGACTTGAACCAGCTAGCCCAATTCAATCCAAGCACATAACCCCTTGTCAAAGGTGAACTTTAATTTTTCCATTCTGACTTTTGTGCAGATTAAATAAACAGGACAGGTTAAATCAGTGAACTTTAGAAGCTGCAGGCTGATTTTGTTACCTTCAGGTAACAAAACAGGTTTTGTTTCCCCATCTCAGGTCTGTGTGCTGTGGCTTTATATTTACTGAGACTGGTGTCAATCTTCTCATTTAAGTCTCTACAGAAAACAAATGAGCACATTTTCCAAAATGTACAACTATTCGTTTAAATTTTACAACTACCTTTAGTTTGCATCCATTGTCTCATCTTCAGTTCATATTCACATGAAAGGCAACTTCAACTTGTTAGGGGGTTAAATCATCCCAAACAATACTGCAGAAACTGTACTTTTGGTTATTCTGTGTTAATTAAAAGATTATCATTTACTACAAATAGTAAATTTACACTTCAGACAACATACAGTTCCCATAATGCACCACATCCACAATACACAGGTTACAAAGAGCACCCTGGGATTTTTACAACTTAAGAGATGAGGTTTCATATTTTATGGGTCCTGTGGTTTCCAGCAAACATTTCTCATAATCTCCTAATTTTCACAGACCAGACGTAAAATTATGCAAGTCAGTGTGGTTGATTTTACATCTAAATGACTTTTTTGTTGTTAAGTCATTCTAGGGATATTGACACTGAACAATTTTCCCACTACATAATTTCCTAGTTTTTTTTTTTTTACCTAAAATCTTGTAGCAACTAACACCATCCCCTTTTCCATAAGCCTTTCTTCAAGCTAAGTTTTAGGAAATTGTGGAAATTACAGGCCCCATAAAAGCACCACTGCCTTCATTTTCCGAACCAGTCACTAAGAACATAAGGAATAGAAAACCATGCTGCTTTCTTCTGTATTATAGCTTTTTCAGAAAAAAAATCTCCTTATCTGTGGAAGTGAAAGACTACCTGGTACTGAGCAATTTTCCTTGTCAGCTATTTGGCTCACTGTGCTGTGTGTCAAGGTCTGTGTGGGTGGCCTGCCTCATCAGCCAGGTTGAGGATGTAGCTGGCTAATTCATCCCCTGTGGGGAAATCAGACATTACCCACGACTCACTGGCAGCAGTCATTTGCAGGCGACACATAGGGCAGTTTCGGCTCTGCCCGCTCCTGCAGAAACAGAAGAGTGTGTGTTTGTTTATGTCATGGGCAACTTTAATGTTGCAATGCTTTCAATTATTTAGAAAGCTACAGAAGAATTACTGATATTACTTCAAGTTTGATCGATCATCCTACCATTTATCAATGCACTTCTGACAGAAGCTGTGTGCGCATGGCAGGATGAGGTCGGCCTTTCCGTCCATGCAGATACAGCACTCCTCCTCTTCAGTCAGCTGCTTCACTCTGCAGAGACATAAACAAAAAAGGGTTCAACTTTTCATTTTTTAGCAGGTAGGAGGAGTGGGAAGGACAGAACCACTAAAAGGTGGATATCTTATTTTAATGAATCGAATGTTTGACATTGGATGGCTTTCAATCAGAGGATCTGCCTGAAAAACCTATTTTTCTGTGTTATTAAAAATACCTTAAAATTTTTGAAAGAATCCCCCCCTAGCTCCTCCTGCAGATGGGAATTCATTCAGAGGGATGAGGAGTCATTCTGCAGCAAGATATGTTATAAAATCCATTGATTAAACAGCCTGTGGGACACTAAAGAACCATTTTTCTGTTTCCCTGAAGTACTGACACCTGAGACAGGCAGAAAAAAAAAGCTGATTTCTTTTTGGCTACTTGGGGACTGAAGTTGAATACACAAGCCTTGTAAAGTTGATTGTGTTAAACATCCAGCAGACAGAGCATCAGTAATATTCATTTGGAGTTGTTTTAGTGGCCAGCTGATGAAAACGTGGCACCATTCAACATGGTCAACATGCCAGTGTCCTCTCCAAGACTGAACCCTGAAGTGCCCTGCATGGTGCTGGAGCTCGCTGCCATCGGTATGTGGGTGTGTGCCAACAGGTGAACAAGGGGCAAATTGTAAAGCGTTTGGATCAAAGCATTTTACCAATGCAGCCTTTCATGATTTACATTTCTATGGCTCTTAGGCTGCTAGATGCTGAACTATATTCAATACACAAGGCTAGGCAGTAACTTTCTATACGTCATTTTCCTTGTACATGACCTACAGTAAGTGTGAACATCAACACCAAGATAGTTAAACCAACAAGCCAACATAATCAATACAGGGCTCAAACTTTATTCTTTAGACCTCCACAGAATCACTAGTCTTTCTGGGATCCACATGAAACAACAACAAACAGTTCAGTTCAAATGCCTTAAAAAAGTCTTCTAAATGTTGTGAGGTAATATGTCACACACTGAACACAAACATGCACTGTGACCGCTTCATGTGAACCAACCTGCCCATCCACATGCTGGCCTGGCAGGAGTCTGTGGAGGGAAGCTGGGCTGACGGGCCCTCGGTGGCGCTCTCTGCAGACAGCACCTCGCTAGCCTGGCTGGTGATGTCATGGTACAGCTGGATGAACTGGTACAGGTTCATGATCCGTGATGCTTCCACCATACCATTCTCCTTGTTGATCTGGGAGGAGATCAACACAGTCACATCACTTACAAGACACACTGGTGTAGTTTCCCCTGGAGGTCTGGCATTGCAGGTGGTCACTGACCACGCATTCAATGTTGTAGCCTCACTGTGGGAATCACAATGTTTTATAAACATTTCCATGTATTAATTACCGTTTGTGAACAATCAAATTCATGCAAATATATACAACTGTGAAAGCCAAAAATATTAGTTTACTGACCTACATCTAAAAAGAGTTGCTACTTGATTTTGCCAATGGAAAAGCCTTTTTGCAGGTATCGGTGAAAACTAACAGTGTCTGAAGGGTTAGCTTAAATTTAGAGTGGGCTACTCCTCTGCAGTTAATGTTAGTTAGCGAGCATGCACCACCATGGATCAGTTCATAGTAAAGTAAAAGCCAGTGACAGAGGTGGAAGTGGAACAGGTTTCTGCTGCATGTTTCTTGGACAAAGCTTCAATTTCAGAGGAAACAGAAAAGTAAAAGAGAAAGATCAAGATGAAAATTCAGTGAGGATTGCATTAAATATGGATTTACATTAACTACTGACAAAGCAGGAGACGAGGTACCGCTGTGGCCCTCAGGTTGCTTCTAGCCAGAATGGTAGCCCCTGGGCCACAGTCAGTTGTAAACCCCTGTTCTGTGTTCATATGGGCACCTGACTATTTGTGAACCTTTCCTTTCCTAAATTTAGTGACTCCTATGTTAGAAGATTCCTGTTGGGCTGTCACTGAAAGCATCTGATCATCATGGCACAGCAGTGTAGTGTTCATTAGAAGTAGAACAAAACTCAAGAGTTCAGCTCATCTCAGTTTTGGTTCCAGGTCCTCATTCAGCATGTAAATTAACTTTACAGGCAAAATGTGCTATTTGTAGGAAAGCTGTGATTCTGTCAACATGAAGCACTGCACAAACCCAACAGTGAAGAGGAAGTCAAGAGAAAGGAAAACTCACTGTTTATTGCTGTACAATATTCCCCTGTATAAACTATTTATATTATGACTTCCTTGTTTAAAACAAGTTGTAAAAATGAGCTACTCCCTCTGAAAACTTGGGCTGCTGTCAGATAAGACAGAGCCCATACAAAAGGTCCTAATAAGGTTTGAAATTCTTTATATTTATTTTTTTACTCTCTCATTTTTCTGAACAGATCAATATGTTGTAGAGGTCCATTTCCACACTGATGAACTGATCTAATCCTATTAAACAAACACTTTCTCCCTCACGTTAACACAATTTACCGGTGTATAGTATCACTCACAGCCGTCTCTTTGAAATCAAAGGTGTGGGCAGGTGCATGTGAAGTCTGTGTGTGTGCGCGTGTGTGTGCAAAAGGCTATTTGGTACCTTGGTACAGAAAATCCTGACGGCCACCTTCCACAAGGCCGTCGTATCAGATCCTGGCTGCACTTCAAACAGCAGGTGCTTCTGCTGTCCAGTAGCTAGTCTGGCCGTACTGAGAGATCCAGCAGAGGACAGAGGATTATGTTCACCTCCATGATCATACCTTTAAACAGTGTGGTGTATGCACATACTGTAATAATGCACAGAGACCCCACCCCACCTCTGATTGGGGTGCTGTGGTGGCCTTGCACAGATCATGAGTTGTACTGTCCCCAGTTTAACTCCAGACAGGGAGTTTGTTACCTGTTGTTTCCCCATTTCTCTCTCCAACCCCAAAACTCGGCCTTAAAAGAGAATTCACCCTGTACTATGTGCTTTTAGTGTTTCAGCTAAGTGCAGTGGGTGGTGGTAAGAGCTGGAGTACTCTGATCAAACAATGAACTGGAACTGAATCAGGCTTTATACAGTCACTAAGCCTGGACATCCCTATATGTGTATATATTTTACTGTTGAACAGCCACATCTTGAACAGACTTACACATCATTAAGTTCAGCCACCCTTGCCAGGAACTCCTCATAGGTGAGATACCCGCTGTCACGTACCAGTCCAATGTGTTTCACCAGCTTCTCAGGCAGATGCGTCATCACCGCCTGACCTGAGATCTGCTGGCCCATGTTGGCCGCAGCAGCCCTTACAAAATAACACTGGCAGAACACCACACCTCATTCAATTCTGCAGAGCCTGGTGGGAAATAAAAAGTTAAACATTAGTTTTATAAGTCTAGATTGGACTGTTTGTTTGAGATAGCCTGTTTATAAATGGGCATGTTAAGGTGCACTTGTCTGGCCCTATTGGCCTTCCTGTTATATGTCTAACTGTATTTTGTTGTCCTTGTGAAATGACAATAAAGCTGTCATCTGTCATCCTGGAGGAGGCCACTCATTTAGCCAGGGTTTTCCTTTCATTTGTCACCTGTCTGTATGTTCACACTGAATTTAGCACAAGTACTAAACTGAACCCGTGCTGACCTGAGGTGGTAAAGTGCTTACCAACGTGTTTCGTTATTAGGAACTCGCTAATGTGACAAGCCATGGCTGAAAGATGAGAAAAATAACGGCGTTTATTTGGTGTGACATGAAAAAGAGAAGCTTCTTACCAAACCGTCAACATGAGACGTAGCAGCTTCTTCATATGGTGTTTATTGGCAAATACTCCCTGTTACATCTGCAAATCAAGTAATACGTCCTGTAGCAGATAGCCGTTGAGCCTATACATTTCAACAGCAACGAGGTTACTGAGTTTTCAAATGTCAGTAAAACAACGGCCATGATTTGGGTTATAATGGTTTATAGGAACTCACGGGAACAGCAGCTGAAAGGTGTTATCTAAATAAGCATTATGTCATAACGTTCAAACTCACCTGTAAGATATTGTTGGAGCTACGTTAAATATTAAACCAGTCACTGCAGTCAATGGCAGACTTTCAAATACTTAGGCGACTCGACTAAAACACAATTTAGTTAAACACAGGGATACAGTAACTTTAAATTAAAACACAAGCTAAATGAGCTAGCTCCCTGATTTAGCATCAACGAAACACTTCTTAACAGCTGCTGGCTAACAGGGAGTAGCATTAACGCACACTTTGCACGTAATTAACTATTTAACAAGCCATGGCTGAAAGATGAGAAAAATAACGGCGTTTATTTGGTGTGACATGAAAAAGAGAAGCTTCTTACCAAACCGTCAACATGAGACGTAGCAGCTTCTTCATATGGTGTTTATTGGCGGTTTGCAAGCCAACCTAAGGTGCAGAGACGTAGCAGTTGGCGTGAATATTAGCTTGCTTGTGTTGACACAACACCGTCGCCGTTTGATGACGTCATCGAGCATTCTATTCGTCAATGTGGGCCTTTGTTACTGGACACTGAATTATCAACATAATAAGTCGTTTCATTAGTTCAGTTTTTTCTTAACCTAATTAGGGGTCTAAGGATATAGGGTGTTGTATGCTGTACAGTAGTGGAAGGCAAGCAGTGTCTCGTGGACCAATTCAGGTCCTCCAACAAAAACATACTGGTCCCCTGAAGAAGTTTTCAATTTTATAGTTAATATTACATGATTCATCATGGATGTGCTGTACAAATTTAAAAATCAAGAGAAAGTTTATTTGAGCAGCACAGATGCTAAAATTAAACTAAATAAATCTACAAAATGAATAAAAGAGGTCAATTCCATAGTTTGGCATGTTTGATTGGAAAAATAATGACTCTCTAGCACTTATTATAATAGGTTACAACAGTAAGAGTTGTAACATATAATTATTTCTCTTTGTCTGCGATATCTGCAGCCAGATGCATTATGTTCTCTGTCCATCCTTCCATCTGTACGGCCCATTCTTGTGAACGTGATAACTCAGGAACACCGTGAGGGAATTTCTTCAAATTGTCCACTTGAATTCAATGATAAACTGATTAGATTTTGGTGGTCAAAGGTCAAGGTCAGTGACCTCACTTCTGTCCTATACCCATGAATTTGACTGGATGGTGGAGGCACACAACCGCAAAGCGGTAATTCTAGTTCATTGATGTAATAACAAACTCCCTTCTATAATATTACTGAATTACTGCATTACATTCACTGTGTATCACAGCTGCCTGGGAGCCAATATTATATCATCAGTTACAAATACTTTAAAATCCTACTGAAATAAATTACTTTTGTAAATTTTCTGACAATTAATAATCCAATAATCAAGACATTATTATTACATATAAACCAGTAATTGTTACAGAGAACCCTCTGGGTTCACTTGTTGACTTGAGTCTCTCTGTGACAGTTTTGAAATTAACCTACAGATGGCAGCAAAAGACACCAAACAACTCACAGAACATAACATTGTATACAGACATGTCATCATTATTTACAAAAGAAGAACTTTCTTCAGTAAGTGGATAACAAGATGTGAAGCTGTTAAGGATACTGACATGATTTAGCACCATTGTCTTTACATTAAAAAAATCCAACTGTGTCAGTAGAAAATGTCAGTTGCCTGAATGCAACACAGATCCTAGTGGAATAGTAGTGTCCAATACCAGTTCAGTTACCTCCACCCTAATGAATTGGCTAATTATTGCCAATGTATTGAGAGCCGATTGTTGCACTGCAGCAGAAGTAACTCACATCACTCAATTTTTGATTCAAGCAATGAATGAATCATTAATTATGCAAGAATTAAAGGACATTTAGATTTTTTTTAGCATCTCACATGTTCGCGTATGAGATACTTTTACATCATTAACAGGTTTCCAAACTTGCTCTGCTCTATCCAGCAATTCACCAGTTCTTATTGAGGACATCACACACTGAGACAGTCTCGCAAATCATTAAAACGTTTCCATTCTTTTTTTTGTTTAATTTTCGATGTAGGAAACAGCGACGTAGTGCAGCACTGAACCCATCCTAATTTATTTTCAGGGTCTGAAAAACTGTAAGAAAGGCAGCTATTCATTAAATGAATTTGAGTGTATGACTCACTAAAAATGTTACCCTGATTATCACACTGAGATAAAATTCAATTTAACTTTTTAATTTTATTTTATTGTTGAAAAAATGTGGGCAGGTCAAGAAGGCTGGAACCAGGCTTTAAATCTATCTGTCTGAACTAAGAAAATAACATATTTATAAGAGGTAAGTTCATTTTTTTAAGCTTCTGGTTCTGGGGAAATCATTTTTAAGTGCTTGGAAAGAAGAAAAAATAGATATCAGCCAAGTTTGAACAATTTTATATAGAGATTTTCTGCAAACAAACATAAGTATAAAGGCTTCATGCTGTACAGACTGGTCATTTCAATACATCACATTGAAAACATACTGTACAGCAGATCCCTCAACAACCCAAGAAAATATGGATTGTTTTGAATCCCTTAGACATATACTTCCAGTAGTGGTCCAAAATGAACTTACAGTATAGCAACTGCACCCAAAACTCACACACGTACGGTACATACAGATGATAATTTCAAAACCTCTTCTGTTACTTCTTTAACTGACTTACAGAGGGAGTGGTCCATAAACTGATAGTTCTTATGATGAGCCATTCTTTCTGACTGGCTGTAACCACTATTCGTACACACTCGACGTCAAAACCGATCTTGTGATCCACATTGTAAACCTCAATGTTTCCACCTTTAAACTCTCCTAATGTGATGTAGGATGTACAGTGTCTTCCCTGTTTAGTTTCCACAGCCTTCTGTCCGACTTCCAGGGCTCCGTGGTGAAGAATATCATTTTGTCGATCCTCTGTACCCGTAACAATTTTAATTCTGCTGATTTTGGTTGATTTATTAAAGATTATGACAAAGAAGTCTCCAGTGCAGGGAGGCTTCCCCCAGAAATACTCATCAACAATACTGCTGTACGCCTTGGTGGCATCATAGTTTTCAAAGACATTGATGTTGGTGTAAAGGCTGGCAGGAGGGTTGTCAGGAATGTCTATGGAGTCTTCCTCAAAGTCATCGTCCTTCAGCTTGTTCTCTGCTCCTTTGTAAGACGAATAGTAGCCCATGTGCTGGAACAGCGAAGGCTTGAAGCGAATCACGTCCTTCTGGGCCAGCAGACCCCTGAAGTGAATGAGGAGCCAGTCGCAGGGCATCTCCTGATAGAACATGAGCAAGAAATGAGCCAGGCGGGGCAGGTCTCTGGAGTGGTATAGCTTCCCGATGTAGCCCAGCTTGGAGAACTCCAGCATCACCCAGTAGGAACCTTCTCTGGAGGTGATCACCTTCTTCAGAGCCGTTAGGAAGTTCCTGGAGCAGCGCACGTCGTCCTCTAACATCATGTAGAAGTGAGAGAGGTTTGTGCAGAAGTTGAGGAGGAAAGCGTAGTCCACGTTCTGCTTAGAGCGGAAACGAACCCGGTCCTCCGGGTCATTGTAGTTCCTCTTCAACCCATCCAGAGACGGATAGTACTCCTCCAGAGCCTGGATCACCAGGAGGCGTCCAGCTATAATGTGGTGGGCAAACTTCCTGGTGATTTCCTGCACCAGATTCTCACACCAGACCAGGTCAAAGTCTGCCAGGTGGACCACCACCACAATCTCTTTCAGTTCCTCATAACTGGACTGATCAAAGATGGATTTGATCGTCTCCAGGAGGTAGTTCCCCTTTTTTCTCTTGACAGATGACAAACCAATGGTAAGATACTCTGTGAAGAGAAATCACTTTTCATTATGGAGCAAAATCCTAAAATATTTCTTGTTCCTAGTGATAACGATGTTCAGACTTCAGTAACCAAGGTCAAATTACTATCACTTGTAGTAATACCTACTTTTGCGCGGTAAAGGAATTCCTGCGAGATAGCGATATGTCACATTAATGGTCCCAGAGAAATTGGACAAGTCTCTGAATGTGTGGATGTATCTGTCAGAGTTTGCAGGGTGTATCAGTGTCTCTCCCAGCTGTCTTTTTTCAGCCTCCTAAAATGACAAAAACAGGCACATACTGAGCAAAAACAAAGCACCATAACAACTGGGGAAAAGCATTAAAGGGCCAGTGACTTGTTACACCTCAAAGGCAACAGACATACCAGCACATATCTATCATCCATGTATAGGTTGAAAAAGAGCAGAAAGGTGACGAGGAAGCCGAGGAACGGGAACACGGATCGTTTCCTGAGGCACCTCATCTTGTCCACGGACTTCCACATCAATCTCATGATCGCGTCTCTCACTGCAGGAAACCAGAGACAAAACAGGAATGTAGTCACAAGCGCTTGTGTAGTTTTTAAATTTCTGACCCTTGTACATATTGAGGTCACAACAGTGATGTTAAGGATCAGAGGCAGAACAAAATAACAAACACAAATAGAATGACAAAGAATAGCAAATAGCAAGCACCTGCTCATATGAGGAGGTACAGTTCAACTCCTGCATCAAGGGGACTGCCTCACTTTTCATTTCACTGCATGTCTGTCTTTATCATGTGTTTACAATTGATGAAGACTCTGTTGTTACATTGTGCTAAACGTTAACCACTCTTGCAGCAGGACACTACAAAATAAAACATTTTAATGTGATCTTGAGGTCTGGGAAATTTTCACTAACATTTTATAGGTTCAAGACCTATAATGAGACCAGTGATGGAAAGAGCTAAAACATCTGTAGAGCAGAGTCAGATGATAATTACCTGTGGGCTAATCTCTATGATCTGATCCATTCTTATTAAAAAAACATAGGTAAGTGCAGCTTTAATTATTATAAACATAAGCTGAAGCCCTGAAGCATCAAGCCTAAAGCTGGCTGGTTAATTTTAATTGAGCTATGATGAGCTACTGAACATGACAGACATGGCCAACAGCCCTGAAACAGAGATAGAGAAGGGTGATTTGTGGTTATATTAATCAAAGTGGCTGCTAATAATGGATTATTATGATCACTAATCTACAGGAACAGGTCACAAAGCAAAACGTCAGCCATCTGTTCAGTCTGCAGCAGTCACAGAAGCCAGACGATGCTCCGAAACTTAACAAATACAAGTGACATCTCTTGATGGAAAACAATTGCTCTCAGCCTTGTTCACTGTGATATTTGCTCACAGTGTTGACAGTCTTTTAACTTAAAAGTATTACCCTGCTCACTATCTGTTCTATTTGGCACCTCATCTAATAAACTAGTGATCCCATGACACCCTCCCTCATTCTGATGTTGCATAACACACACAAGAAAAAACTTCAATGTGTGAAACAGTGAGCTCCCCAGTAGCAGAGACAATTTCAGCACAGGCCTGGGCACCTGCCACCGGGCCCAACAACTCAATAAACACCTTAATATTCACAGAGTTCCATTTTAGGGGGAAACCATCTGGCATCTACCAGAGAATTAAGCCATTTTGTGCTTCTGTCATGAAAATGCTCTACGGTGCCACCTGAGAGAGGCAGCACCAAGTGGAAACACGATGACAGCTGTAAGTCAATATTATGCATGCACCTCCATACACATCATCATTTCAGATAGCAGCCTGCGAAATCAGATACTGAGACAACCAAAGAATAGCTAATAAGGAGACATAATGGCCACATGCTTTCTCTTCGAGAGAGAGTACTGCTAAGAAATTTGATTTTTGTTTGCTTTCTCTGAGTGAACCTAAACAAACAAGCCTCCCACAGGTCACACACATTTATATGGAAATTAAGGTATGTCTATGAATAAATAAGCACAATTTGTTGGGTCCCTTTGCTTTAGCTTAAAATGCTCCTCTGCCAAGTTGTTTGTTTCTCTTGTTGTTTTTTCCCCCACCAAATTATCAGCGTCTATTCCCGGTGAGCTCATTTCTATGACTTAAGTCATTTTATATTAGAGCCAGTAAAATAAAAACAGGTAGAGAGGAATACCAATGAGATGCATAATTAAAAATTGGTATGTCCCGTAGGAGGGTTTATCTTCACCGGTGAACATTAGAAACAGCCTCCCCAGAACAGAAATGAGACCAGTCTTTTGTTTTAGAAATGTAAAGTCCATATAAAAAGAGAATTACACAAATCTAACTGTCCCAGCTTACAGGTAAATCTTCTGAATGAAAAATGAAGTGAGGAAAATGAAGGAGAACTGGATTATTTAAACAAGCATCATCTTCTTTCCAGGGGGGCACAGCACAAAAGCAGAATTAAGAAATCAGGCCCTGTGACAGGCTGGCGACCTGTCCAGGGTGGACAAAATAGCCAAAATCAGCCAAAATAGCCAATAATATTCCATGACTCCTATGGTATAATTATTTTAAAAAAGAAGCGGAGCTGTTGAATGCAGAGAAACGAGAACATGCATTATAGCTAAATATATACAGACACAGTGGCATGAACAACGCGGCAGGTCTTGGATTAGCTTCTAGTCTGAAGTGCAGTTCATTTTAGACTTGCCTCTCTGACTCAGACATAATCAAGACATGTGTTGTTACTTATTGTTTAACGGAGCACAGTCAGACTTTTTACACTCTATAAGGGCTAAAATACATGAGATCCAATAGGAAGCCTGTGAACTGAACCTCAAACTCCATGCTGGCGTCGCACGTCGCTGCTCAAAGACTGAGAAGCTGCCCAGCAGTAGAACTCCATTTGTGTCAGTAGCAGCTGCAAGGTTAATGATATAAACCTCAGAACAGAAGGTGTTGTCAGAATGCACCGGAAACATGATGCTACAAAGACAGAAAACACAACTCAACCAAGACACTGTGATTCTTCACATTTACAGGTTTGTCAACAAACCTAAAATGAAGATTAACATCCTTCTAAAAAAATGGAAGGTCTGCAGTCTGAATGAAATGTAGAGGAGCCAAGCTTGTGACTGGAGAGTTGCAGAGCCAATCACTGGACTTGCTGTGAAAGTCTGATTACGAAAAACAAATGAGTAATGCTTTAAATTCAACAGCGCCCATCAAGGTGCCCTTCAGCAAGGCACTTAATCTCCATTTGTGTCAGTAGCTACAGCAAAGTCCCCACCAGTAGGAGATTGTGGACGTACTGGGAGGCTCCCAAGTGAGAATGTGTGTAGCTGCACATAGAATATGCCTGCTCAGCAAAACAGCCTTCCAAGTCAAAGTTCTCTGCAACATGAACAATAGTAAAGACACGGCCTAAGATTGTTTCAGTTCTGTTTTCAAGTAGATCATCATGGCACTAAGATGCACTCAGGAATCTGTGCCAAGGACGTTTAATGGATTTTTAAATTCCCTTCAGGTTTATGAACTTTTGGAACTCTGTGAATACAATCTACAATGCACGTCTCAAACCCTATATTCAGCTATTACTCTTCATCTCCATGCCGCCTCCGTGGGGCTCGGGCAGAGCGCTAATGTGGGTCAAAGCACTGACTGCCGAGCACAGCCCATTCTCATTACAGTTACCATCACTGGGACCACAAAAGCCTTTCATGTTCATCTTTGACCTGAAAGGTAAATATACTCCTGATGCAACTGTACTGCAGGCCTGCTGCATGTAAGTGCCAAGCTTTAGAAGCAGAGCATCACGTCTGCTTAGGGCTAAAGCCTCATTTAATCATGAATACTGTGAAGCTGCATTAAGAGCTGATAATTTTAAACAGTTGTAATGGTCTTCTGGGACTGATCAGGCCCCAAAACTTTGTAACTGCTTTGTGTTTACTTGTAAATTAATCCAAAAGGACTTCTTCTTGCCTCTGAAGATAGTTCCTCTTAATCCTGTGTGTTTGGGCTCATAGTTGTGATGCAGAATAAGTATGGAAACAATCAGATGCCTCCCTCATGCTATTGGATGATGGATAGGAATTGAAACATCTAAAGTGCCTACAGCCTGTGCACAGTACTGTATGTTTTAAAGCACAGTCCATCAATTTAGCACTGCACTCTGCATCTGGTAAGGTGACTTCAGACAGCCACAAAATGATCCACTAAATGGACACTGTGGTGAGACTGTTTACTCAGCTGCTGTTCCCAAGGTCAAAAATGAACTTTGAACCTAAGCATATTCACATGGTTTGACCGTATAGCCAGACAACAAGGACAGGAGAGTGAATGGACAGTGAAAGATATACTGTTGGACATTTAATTAATTGAGAGGAAACACACTGAGCCTGTTTTTGCATACATAGCAGAAAAGCTTGTGTTTGAAATTCAGTGTCGGTCTGCACAAGAACACAGCTCCACCTTTGGCTCATTTCCCAACCGCTTCTAAGCTTCCTGTAATATGAATACATAGGGAGGTTATGGTCACAACGAATCTATATGCAACACAGTATAAGAATGAAGAGAGAGTGCTTTGAAAAAATGCAATTAATCTCTTATAAAAAGGCTACTCACAGCCTGTAATGAGATGCCATTTTAATAATCCTGTACGTTGCACAACAAAACCATTTGGTAAACACTATTGTTCATTTGCTTGTTGACATCCAAATGAAGCCACACGGGCTATACTGAGCTGGAGTGTGTTTGTGTTTGTGTGGGTGTGGCAGGATGCAGGCAGCTGATGAAGGGTCACTGATTAAAATATTTTTAAGTGGTTTTATTTGAATGAGCTTTTAAAAAATAGATTTAATTTTGCTGAGCGAGACATAGTGACTTGTTTTTAACCCTTAGTCTTCACTTTTGTAGGTGTCTGTTTACTCTGTAGTCACCATGGCCTCATTACACTTTGAATAAATAAGATGGAGGTGAAACTGATTCTGACTGTAGCAAGACTGTACTAACAATAACAAAATAAATCAGTATCTTTGGTTCAAAGCTCAAATGGGCCCAAACAGGAGCTGAGAAGTTAGGACCTGTGACACTTTCAGCAACTGAAATTCCGGTTCTCCCCAGTTAGAAAAACAACCAAAGCCCTTTTCAAACATGCACTGACACCTTGAAATTATCTGGACATTAGCTGGAGGAGTTGGATGTGAGAACACAAATGTTCAAGCCAGTTGGCCGAGACATTAGGTGGACCTTACAACAACAGCTCCCTAGTGCAAAGTCCACATGAAATCCGAGTGAGCCCATGGGACAACAGCAGTGAATACTCCAGAGAATTCACATTGAGCTAGTGGGTGTGTCAGTGACAGTCTATCCCGTGACTGGCACAAAACTGGAAAATTACAAACATTCAGTGGTGACCTTCATTTACAGTGAACATGACAAAAAAAAAGGTCTAACTGGAGACACAATGAGATCTGGGAGCTTCTGTCCTAAAAGGACCACTGTCGAAATCGTTAGTTCAATTCAAGGAA